TGGCAGCAACTCAATGCATTTAGGCATCTAGATGTGGTGAAGACAAACCGAGCACCAGAATGGGGAAAGAAAGGGGTTTAAGTGACTTTGAATGTGGCGTGGTTGTTGGTGCCAGACGGGCTGGTCTGAGTATTTCAGAAGCTGCTGATCTACTTGGATTTTCATGCACAACCAGGGGCGGACTGACAACTCATAGGGCCCCTGGGCAATAGGGGATCATGGGGCTCCTGTGTCCTTGCCCAAACTCAAAAAAGCCTATCAAAAAGGTACCAGGGGCATCTCATGGGGCCCCCTACTGACCCCGGGCCCTCGGGCAGTGCCCGAGTTTCCATTTGGTCAGTCCGCCCCTGCGCACAACCATCTCTAAGGTTTACAACGAATGGTCCGAAAAGGAGAAAATATCCAGTGAGCGGCAGTTGTGGGTGAAAATGTCTTGTTGATGTCAGAGGCGAGTGGGCAGGGTGGTTCAAGATGATAGAAAAGCAACAGTAACTCATGTCAGTACAGACCAGAATCTCTGAGGAATGTTTCCAACACCTTGTTGAATCTATGCCACCAAGAATGAAGGCAGTTCTGAAGGCAAAAGGTGGTCCAACCCGGTACCTAATAAAGTGGCCGGTGAGTGTAGATACCAAGCTGGACCCAATGTAACTAAAGTTTGCCATACCTAAATTTGAGCTTTAAAGGGACTCGATAAATTGGTAAGAGAACATCTATTTTAAAGAGCTTCAAAGAGGAGAAATAATACTTACCTGTTTCTCCACCGATCATCACTTTATTGATGAGCGAAATTTGTTTGGGAAGGCTCACATTTCCCTAGGTCGTGGTATACTATGGGGAAAGTAATTGCAGGTTTTGTAACTTTCCCACTTATAAAGAAATGAAGGGTCTATAATTTTTATCATAGGTGTATCTTAACCCCCCTGGCGGTATTCCCGAGTGTAGCTCGGGGTAAAGTTTCAGCACCACAAGTGGTAACCCCCGAGCTACACTCAGGAATACACTGCAGCGTTGCTCTGGGATCTCTTCTTCACTTACCTTGTCCTGCGCTCCCGCGATGTCCCCCCTGCAGTGTCCCCTGTAATGTCCTCAGGCCGATGCCGGCATCTGTCTTCTGGGTTTCGTTCCCTGCGACGTCGGGACGTACGGGGGACAGAACTGGCCAGAAATGTAAAAATGCGAAAAAAGTGGACATTCACTAAATATACTAAAATCACATAGTATAACATTGCTGTATCAAACCATTTCACATACATTTTGTCCCGAGTGCTTTGTCCGGCGCCCTGCCTGCATTTTTACTGTTCTTTCTGCCTGGAAACTGAGAAACGTCCATGGAGTCCAAAAAGCGTCCCTTTAGGTCAAAAGCGGTTTTAGACCGGCTAGAGAACAGCGATAGTAAATCAGAACCACTTGCAGAATTGAGTGATAATGATTCGTGGGGGAAATTCCTCATCAGACACTGAAAACGATTCTGCGACTTTGCTCAGCGATGTGCGAACTTGGCGCTATATTTCATATTTCAGTGTTTTTGGTTTGATTATATTATTAAATTAAAGTTGTTATAATATTTTTTATGATTTTTTAAATTATAATTTATGATTTCGTGTTTCAAGTTTTATCCTACCCGGGATGTTTATTAGACTCTTGTTCGGACAGATTTCAGTGAGTTATTCCTAAAAATGACAGGCCTACAATAAAAAAACTACATATTTCCATGCAAAAAAAAAATTACCGCTTTGAGCACAGAAATATGGACATAATCAGACCGCTAGGGAGGTTAAATAGAGATCGAATATAAACCAAAAATCCAGAAAAAACACATGATACAAATGTTAGAAATTGAGTTGCAGTTCAGTTAGTAAATTCAGTATTTGATCCCCTACCAACCAACAATGATTCTGGCTCCCACAGACTGGCTATGTGCTCATGTGGTACACAGATGATTAGTTCTGTCAATTTAAGAAGGTGCTCCTAACGACAACTCATTATATTATAAAGAACACCTGTCCACAGAATCGTTCTTCCAATCAAACCTCCATGGCCAAGACCAAAGAACTGTCATACGATGTCAGGGACAAGTTTTTAGACCTGCACAAGGCTGGAATGGGCTACAAGACCATCAGCAAGAAGCTTGATGAGGGGACAACTGTTGGAGCGATTATTCGCAAATGGAAGAAATACAAAATAACCATCAATCGCCCTCGGTCTGGAGCTCCATGTAAGATTTCGCCTCATGGGTAAGGATGATCATGAGAAAAGTGAGGGATCCACCCAGAACTACAAGGGAGGAGCTTGTGAATGATCTCAAGGCAGTTGGGACCACAGCCACCAAACAAACCATTGGTAACACTATGCACCGCCATGGATTGAAATCCTGCAGCGCCCACAAGGTCCCCCTCCTCAAGAAGACACATGTACAGGCCAGGGGCGGACTGACCATTTGGAAACTCAGGCACTGCCCGAGGTCCCGGGGTCAGTATGGGGCCCCATGAGATGCCCCTGGTACCTTTTTCATAGGCTTTTTTGAGTTTGGGCAAGGACACAGGGGCCCCATGATCCCTATTGCCCGGGGGCCCCATGAGTTGTCAGTCCGCCCCCAGGTACAGGCCCATCTGAAGTCTGCCAATAAACACCTAAATGATTCAGAAGAATTGGGGGAAAGTGTTTATTGGTCAGAGGAGACCAAAATTTGAGCACTTTGGCATTAACTCGACTCACCGTGTTTGGAGGAAGGAAAATGCTGCCTATGACCCTAAGACCACCATCCCTACAGTCAAACAGGGAGGTGGAAACCTTATGCTTTGGGGCTGTTTATCTGCTAAAGGTACAGGCCGCCTTTGCCGCATTGAGGGGCCAATGGACTAGACCAGGGGTGGGCAACTGTGGCCCACCAGCTGTTGGTGAACTACAAGTCCCATCATGCCTCTGCCTTTGGGAGTCATGCTTGTAACGGTCAGTTTTGCAATGCCTCATGGGACTTGTAGTTCTGCAACAGCTGGAGGGCCACAGTTGCCCACCCCTGGACTAGACCATGTATTGTAAAATCTTGGATGAGAACCTTGTTCCCTCAGCCAGGACACTGAAGATCGGTCGTGGATGGGTCTTCCAGCATGACAATGACCCAAAACAGAATGCCATGGCAACAAAGGAGTGGCTCAAGAAGAAGCACATTATGGTCATGGAGTGGCCTAGTCAGTCTCCAGAGCTTTTTCCTATAGAAAATTTATGGAGGGAGCTGAAACTTCGAGTTCCCAAGACGCCTTAACCCCTTCCATACCGGGCACTTTTACCCCCTTCCTGCCCAGGCCAGTTTTCAGGTTTCAGCGCTCTCACACTTTGAATGACAATTGCGCGGTCATACAACATTGTACCCAAACTAAAATTTTATCATTTTCTTCACACAACTAGAGCTTTCTTTTGGTGGTATTTAATCACCTCCGGGGTTTCTATTTTTTGCTAAATTAACAAAAAAAGACAGAAAATTTTGAAACAAAACACGTTTTTCTTTGTTTCTGTTATAAATGTTTGCAAATAAATAATTGTTCTTCATAAATTTAGGCCGAGATGTATTCTGCTACATGTCTTTGGTGAAAATAACCCAAATTAGGATGTATTATTTAGTTTGTAGGAAAGTTATAGAGTTCACAAACTATGGTATAGATCTGATTATTGATCAATCCTGAAGTACTGACAGCCAATCTAATTTCTTGAGGTCCAAGAATGTCAGAACAGTACAGATATCCCCCAAATGTCAGGACAGTACAGATATCCCCCAAATGTCAGGACAGTACAGATATCCCCCAAATGTCAGGACAGTCAGATATCCCCCAAATGTCAGGACAGTACAGATATCCCCCAAAGTGTCAGGACAGTACAGATATCCCCCAATGTCAGGACAGTACAGATCCCCCAAGTGTCAGGACGGTACAGATATCCCCCAAGTGTCAGGACGGTACAGATATCCCCCAAATGTCAGGACGGTACAGATATCCCCCAATTGTCAGGACGGTACAGATATCCCCCAATTGTCAGGACGGTACAGATATCCCCCAAATGTCAGGGACGGTACAGATATCCCCCAAATATCAGAACGGTCAGATATCCCCCCAAAATGTCAGGACGGTACAGATATCCCCCAAAATGTCAGGACGGTACAGATATCCCCCAAAATGTCAGGGACGGACAGATATCCCCCAAATGTCAGGGACGGGACAGATATCCCCCAAATGTCAGGACGGGACAGATATCCCCCAAATGTCAGGACGGGACAGGGAACAGTACAGATATCCCCCAAATGTCAGGACGGTACAGATATCCCCCCAAATGGGACGGACAGATATCCCCCAAATGTCAGGACGGCACAGATATCCCCCAAATGACCCCTTTTTGCAAAGTATACAGTCTGACATACTTCATAAGAGGAATGGCGAGTTTTTTGAAATTGTATTTTTTTTGTAATTTTTTTTTGGAAAATGAAAAAATGAAGAAAATTATTTTTTCTATTTTTTTTTTTTTTTTTTTTTTTTTTACATACTGTCACCAGTGCAGTACAGCGTCATCATGTAACTGGCATGGCGGTGATCAGGGACACGGACTGGTGACAGTATGGGAAAAAAAAAAAAAGATTTTTTTTTTTTTTTAATTTTTAATTTTTTTTTTTCTTTAAGATTTTTTTTTTTCATATGTCCAAAGTAGCACAATGTTACCGTAGTAACATTGTACTACTTTGGGGAAGTGATCAGTATTTTTTTTTTTTTTTTTTTTACACAATTTGCTTATAGCAAAGAATTACTTTTGCTATAAGCAAGCATTTACCTGAATGACATCGATTCATTCAGGGGTTTTTTTTTTTTTTTTTTTTTGTGCTTAGCTGTGATTTGGCCACAGCTAATCACATGACATGTGCATGTGATCGCTGTGACCATTCACAGCTAGACACTAGTATACAATGGATGGCATGAAAAACTGTAGCTGCTGACTGCTTACAGCCACTTACCTGTCCCTTCGGTCCCGCGGTGTGTCCCCCGCAGTCCATTTCACCAGCCGTCCTGTATTCCAGGAGGCCGGCATCTTCAGTGTGGGCACCTGGCTGTGACAGCTTGCGGCCTCACAGCCGGGTACCCACTGCGCTGTGCTTCATGAATGGTCCTGTAGTCTTCTGGGACCTGTCACGTGTCCCAAAAGACTACAGGGAGGACACATTCCGCTTCCGATCGCCTAGGCCAGGGGTAGGCAACCTGCAGCTCTCTAGCTGTTGTGGAACTACATTTCCCATGAGGCATTGCAAAGATTACAAAACTGACAGTTACAGCTATGACTTGCAGAGGGATGATGGAACTTGTAGTCCTGCGGCTCTCAGGTTGCCTACCCCTGGCCTAGGCGATCAGACCGGAAGTGGGAGCGGTTACGTCAAGTCCTTACAGCGAAACTTCCCCTTTTGGGTGGAGCCCCGCTTTAAGTATTTTCCCCACTGTATATAAGAAATGACAATGAAAACTCCGCACCACAGATAATGCCAAAAAAAAGAAACGTGATTATGGCGGCTGCAGTCTTCAAAATGCATCTCACTTCCACATTCGTGAACCCAGGGGTGTATTCGCCTAGGGCGTCACTTTTCGGGGGGTGGCTGAAGAAGGGACACGTGGCATGGGGACCAGGTGGGATCTGTGAGAGGTTGTGGGCTGCTTGATTGTGTATGCAGAGTCCGACTCTCGTTCCCGGGGTTGTCCGGAGCTATGAAGGTGAGTGTGTCTCTCTCATGCCGGGTGGGGAGTGTCATGGTGGTGGGTGTATAGGGGGGGGTGGTGGAAGGCTCTCTTGGCCCGGGGGGTTGGGGTTTGGTTGGTTTTGGTCTAAGTGATGTGGTGTTGGTCAGGTCAGTGTCAGGCTCGCTCCGTGGGGGGGGTGCTGGTTGCCATTAGTAACCGATAAACAGGTGACCCCCCCCTCCCCCCCCCCCCCCCCCCCCCCCCTTCTAGGTGACCCCACGTGGATTTGCACTCACCACAATGGATGGACCTTCTATTACTAGATGGGTCTCACTGGCTTTTTTTTGGTTGGACTCACTGGGGTTCAGTTACTAAAACTACATGGTGCAAAATCAGGCGCACTTCTGCATAGAAACCAATCCGCTTGCAGGTTTCATTGCCAAATCTTAAGTGAACAAGCTGAAGTTGGGCCCGGCCATACGTGGGTCGATTTTCCAATGATTTTTCGTTCAAAAATCGGACTTAAGAATGACACTCCCGCAGCAAGTCTGATTTCAACTCGTAGCAGGTGTGCAGTATATTAAAGCCTAATTGAAGTATGAATGTGCAATCAGAGAGACCTTGGATTTGATTTACTAAATCCGGAGAGTGCAAAATCTGTTGCAGCTCTACATAGAAACCAATCAGATTCCATTTTTTTTTTTTTTTACACTGTCCCTAACTTCAGATTGTTCAATTAAACTTTCATTTAAAAAAAAAAAAAAAATGGACAGTGTAAAAAATAATAAAGGGACAGTGTAAAAAATAATAAAGGGACAGTGTAAAAAATAATAAAGGGACAGTGTAAAAAATAATAAAGGGACAGTGTAAAAAATAATAAAGGGACAGTGTAAAAAATAATAAAGGGACAGTGTAAAAAATAATAAAGGGACAGTGTAAAAAATAATAAAGGGACAGTGTAAAAAATAATAATAAAGGGACAGTGTAAAAAATAATAATAAAGGGACAGTGTAAAAAATAATAATAAAGGGACAGTGTAAAAAATAATAATAAAGGGACAGTGTAAAAAATAAATAAAATAAAGCAACCTGGGTGGCAAGTGGTTACATGTAACAGTGAATAATGACCTTCTAGTTTTTGCAGTCACTCTGGTCTGCGTGGCATTGTGAATCATGTAGCACAGTCTACAGTTTTTGTACACGGGCACCCCTGATGCATGTTTTCATGTTTGTATGTACAGGATAATGGGGGGAGGGGGTTAGGTGCCTTGGTGTCCTTGAATTTTTTTTTTTTTTTTTTTACATTTTTGACATCTGAACCCAGTAGGGACACGATGCATGTTGCTTCCATATTCATTATATGTGGAGGAGATCAACAGACGGATGTTCGCTGGTCTCCCTCCAGTCTACCCAGTGACACCTGTCATGGGGGTCCTGGACCTGCAGGTGGGACAGGGAAATGTTGGGGGGGTGTTCAGTAGTGGGGGGTGGTGATTAGGGGTGTGTACGGCTTCCACCCGTTGGTGGTGGCAGTGAAAGGGTTGAGGATGAATCCAGTGCGGTTTGTCACTGAATATCCGTCCTGGTTCCTAATCCTCTATATTTTGCCCTGGCAGAGAAGTCTTTGTTGCACCGTCATGATTTGTATCTCTTCAGTATGAATGGATGGACTGATTTCCTGCAGATAGCGGGCGGCCCCTGGAGAGCGCGCCTTGTGTACGGGTACAGAGTGATCCGCGGGATCCCGGCCAGCTTGGATATCCAGTGTGCGCCGCGCTCCTCCGCCGAGTCCTCAGCCAGGCACTTGGCAGCGGTTTGCAGGCTTTCTGCTATTTTCGTGAAGCGTAGACTGGCATCGGCTGAAATCCCCGAGCGATGTTTACAGGCGGTGGAACCCGGCCAATCTCCGCTCTGCACTTTATTGGATGTTTGGGAACTTCGTCCAAACTAAAAATAAACTGGATTTGGATGTGTGATTAGAGGCGGAGCGATTGCCGGCCGCGGCCACATTCTATATAAATCATCTCGTACTGATCACACAGTCCTCCGGGCAGCAGGGGGCAGGAGACTAAACAGATGAATCCAGGGCTCTACTAGGACTGCTCTGTCTGTTACATCTCCTGAAATACTCTGCACTGCTGGAGGAGGACTCCGCTCCTTCCTCTATAACTCTCCTCTCCTGAAATACTCTGCTCTGCTGGAGGACTCCGCTCCTTCCTCTATAACTCCTCTCCTGAAATACTCTGCTCTGCTGGAGGACTCTGCTCCTTCCTCTATACCTCTCCTCTCCTGAAATACTCTGCACTGCTGGAGGACTCCGCTCCTTCCTCTATATAACTCTCCTCTCCTGAAATACTCTGCTCTGCTGGAGGACTCCGCTCCTTCCTCTATAGCTCTCCTCTCCTGAAATATTCTGCACTGCTGGAGGACTCCGCTCCTTCCTCTATGGCTCTCCTCTCCTGAAATACTCTGCACTGCTGGAGGACTCCGCTCCTTCCTCTATGGCTCTCTCCTCTCCTGAAATACTCTGCTCTGCTGGAGGACTCCTCTACTACACAGAGGAGAGTTACATAGAGGAAGGAGTGATTAGAAGGGAAGGGGGGGGGGGGGGTGTTGATGAAATTAGGAGTGCAGCCTGGGGTGACTACGCTGCCCCCTCAGTGCAGTATTGTGAGAATGGTCATCCTAGAACAGGAAGTGTTACTGGCAGGATCACCAGGCAGCACCGTTCCTGGTGCTTTCTGCTTTCATTATGTCTCCTATTGCCGGGTCGTGTACAACTCCTCACAATTCTCCATCTCATTTGGGTTGTTATTGCTTGGGGTTGATGTTGAATTGGCTCCTCCCTGGCTCCTCCCTCCCTGGCTCCTCCCTCCCTCACTAATCAACATAAAGGAATATGGAATGGATTTATTTTAAGATTTCATTATTTACCTTATTTTAGACTCAGTGATGTCACCTCTGTGTTTCTCTATGCAGTGCAGGCAGATCATGGCTGGTGGGAGGAGCTGGCAGGGTTCTGTACATAGCTCCCTGAAACGTTCCAGCACTCTGTACTCCAAATCTGGTGAGACCAGCAGTCAGAGGCAGCAGTGCCTTAGGTGATCTCGCACTGTATATATATATATATATATATATATATATATATATATATATATCATATAGGCACAGGAAGTAAGCTGCTGTTTTTCAGGAGGAATTCAATAAAAAATGTAGCCTAGGCACAATTTTTAAAGCGGAGTCCCTTTCCCCCCCAAAAAATAGCAGCTACAAATACTGTACCTGCTGACTTTTAATATTAGGTCACTTACCTGTCCGGGGGTCCAGTGGTGTCCTCACCCCGAGCTGGTTCTTCAATCAGGTGCTGGCGCCGCCATCTTGACTAAGGGAAACTCTCAGTGAAGGTTCCTACTGTGCATGCAGGAAGCGCGCTGAGCTTGTGAATAGGCCGCGGTCCTCTGGGACCTGTGAAGTGTCCCAGAGAGCTACGGCGTGGATCCAAATCGATTCGCCAGAAATGGGAGTGAGTACCTGTCAAAACCAGGTACCTGCTGCCCCCAGAGGGTGCCCAATGTGGTCAGGGGGGGGGTGGGAGCCAGAGAAACGGGTGGAGCCCCACTTTAAGGACCGGTTCACATTATAGAAATGCGTTCCGGATGCTTTTTTTGGCGCATTCCAGTGTGTTTTTGATACAGTCCAGTTAATTTTTCCCCTTTTTTTTCAATTGAAAGAGGGACGTGCCTTTCAGTGCGTTTTGATGCGTTCCAGTACATTTTTTTTACCTTTTTCTTCAATTTAAATAGGGACTTGTGCGTTCTAGTGCATTTTTGGTGCATTCCAGTGCTTCTTTTTTTTTTATGTTTTGACCGCGGTTCAGTGTTCTGTGCAGAAAAAAATGCAGCCGGTTCTTTTTTTTTTTTTTTTTCTGCAACCAGAACACATTGGAACTACAAGCACTGATGTGAACTATGACATTGGCAACCATATCACCTACTTTCTGTGCGTTTTGGATGCAGAAAAAAAACGCAACTGAAACGCAGTCCTGAGTGTTCTCCATGACAGCCAATCTTCACTTTTTGAGTTCAGGTCCACTTTAATGTCCCTCACCAGGCAGGATAAGAAAAGAACACTTTGCATAAGTTTTGCTTTATGTAAATTTGGGGATGCCTACGTTCTCTCTGCTTGTCCTACAGAAACCCCAGATTTGTTTATTTAAAAAAAAAAAAAAAAAAAAAAAAAAAGGCAGATTTTTTTTTTTATTATTTTTTTTTTTTTATTTTTTTTTTTGCTGCTTGTGCTATTTTTTTTGCTATAATGCCTCCTTTTCACTAATAAAATATGCAGAAATTTTTTTTTATTAAATTTGGTAAAACGTAAGGCCTGGTTCGTAACTATGTAATTTGCGTTTATAGTGTGAATTTTTTTTTGCACATGAATTTTTCAGGCGTTTTTTTTTTGCATCTTTTATTTTTTTTTTTTTTTTTTTTTTTCTGCTTTTTGCTTTTTTTTTTTTTTTTTTTTTGCTGTAATGTCTCCTTTTCACTAATATTGGCAAATAAATAGGAATTAGATTAATAAAAACTTGAGGCCTGATGCAGTTTGCTTTTACAGTTTTTTTGCACGTGTTTTTCAGGCATTTTTGCATCTTATATATTTTTTATTTTTTTTGCTGCTTGTGCTATTTTTTTTTTTTTTTTTTGCTATAATGCCTCCTTTTAATATAAAAATTTTTTTTTGCATATTTTATTA